AATTATAACTATACTCAATAAAGTCTTGAATAGGTACAGTAGACATATTGTAGGACCTGATTGGTGGTAAAAGTTATAAGGATTTTGAATGATGATTTTTCAAATTATATGTGCCCACTCCTTTTGGAATATATGATTCTAGTTATAACTTAGTAAATACGTATATCCCTAGTTCATACATTACCAATTTGATAAATAAAAAGTATTTACACTTAAACACATTAATTAATCTTCAAACACTTGTGTAGTAGTAGCTTTTTTTTTTAAGATTTACCTGTTTACCCAGTTAGAAATCATTTTTTTCTACATAATAATATAACAACTCCTTATAAGTAACTGATAAGTTACCAAATTACTGATATCAATTCTATGGCTTGATGATAGGATCCAGAATCAAGAGTGAAAAATTAGGTACAAAGAATGACCACAACCAGATTTAATAGAAGGAATGTCCTTCAAATGCTTCAAAGCACATGTATACCCATGCAGTTTAAATTCAGGGTTTTCCATTTCCTAAAGTGGTTACCACCCAAAGATAGGGAGCCCATTCTGCCCTGTAGGACATTCAAAGGACATTAATAGGAAATGAACATGATAAACTCAGACTGAATTTGATATTTGTGTATGTAGCATAATAGTGGGCCAGATTACTGAAGATGCCCATGCAAGCCCAAGTACTGTAATCAAAATACTACAAGTTCTAAGCAAGTAAAATAAAATATATATAAAAATAATAATCAAGTATGACAATTCTCAATTTTTTATTAACAAACAAGGTAAATTTTTTCAATATTTAACATTCATGTGATCATATAAGTAAATATGGAAATAATATTTAAAAAGCCAACAGCATTTCTTTTTTGTTAGTGAAAGAACAAGCAAGTTATTTAGAATTACTTTCATGTATTAAGTTTTGTATTCCATTTTTATCTAGCATGTATAATAAGTCTGAATAAAGCAATGAATCCTGCCAATGGATCTAAATTCTTTGCATGATTTAACAATAGCTACTTCATATTTTATATATATATATATATATATATATATATATATATATATATATATTAAACTAATCAGATTGTCACCAAATAACTGGATTTCAAAATTTGAGTTTTAAATGTAAAACCAGAAATCAAATCATATATTTACTTAAGAGCAAGTTATGCATGCCCTGTGTTAAGCAGGATATTTCCATTAAGTTTAAACTTGAAGAAACCACAAGTGGCTCTGTGAGAAAAGGCATTCTTGCTAAAAAGAATGATGCAGTCAAAGAAATAATCTCATTGAAGTTGCAACAGATTTCTGAGGAGGTTCAACTGTCGAAATCATATAATTCTGGACACTTCTGAAACTGCTCTTCAACTCTCTTGAGCTGTCTTGTGTTCTGTCCTGGTGTTTATTCTTCTTAAAAGTCTCAAACCTACAAAGTTATGCTGTGGAACTCATCTAGATGTCAAGCAGCTTTTCTCATGTGTCAATGAGGCAACTATCCTAACTGGGGTAGGCAGAATGAAGAATGTGTTTGTTCAGAGGACCCCCATAATTCCAACATTTCAATTTCCTTGAAGCTCTGCTTTACCATGATTATCAAGTAGAACAATCTCTCAAGATCACTGACCTCAACCTGACTTCTCTATGTTAGTTGTTCTAAGATTGGATCCCCAAATAGATTGACAGCGAGAAGTATAAATGTTGTATACCCAGAATCCATGTCAAACTAAGGGACAATATAATTTGTTTTGGGCATTAGAATATTTTTTAGTAAATAATGTAAATAACTTTTTGTTTCATTTGTTATATTATGAAAGAATAAATAAATTAAAGAACATTTTTCTGTGTTGTTATATTCAGAATTATTTTTTTTTTTACCCCAGGCAATGCTAGGTATCCTTGTTTCCTTACTTATTATGTAATAAGTGAATTTTTCAAGTTGGCTCAAAAAGAGTACCAATATAAGCATGATTGGTAGGTGAGGATGCAAATGATTGATTTTAATTTATCACACAAACTAATGGGATACACACAAAGAGCATAATCTGTTTTTATAACAAAAAGCATAAAATGAAAATATTGAAACATATTTCCTTTAAGCTAAAAAATCAAATCTGGTCATGGTAAAGGAGATGAAAATCTGTAAATAGTAAAATTTGCTATTCCAACAGACTGCAGATACAAGTTGAAAGAAAGTGAAAAGCCAGACTAATATCCTGAGCTGGTCAGATAAACAAAAACATGAATGTGACAGATGTGCCAAATATAGTTGAAGGGCTTGGAACCCCAATGACCCTAAGAAGTGGAAACCAGAGCAAGAATCAAAACAATTTTGACAACATCACTGCTGAAAACAACAGGTATAAAAAACTTTAATAATTATAATTACTATTATACAACAGAAGTTTAGACCCTCTTGCAAGTTTCAATGCAGATTTTATAAGACATAATTATAACAAAAATAGAAACAAGTCAATATAAGAAAAGGTATTCAATAAAATAAGATATAAAAAAAATACAACCAAACAGAAGTTCTAAAATTTATGCTTCTGATTAATAATGTATACTTTTGTTGCATTTTCAGGCTATGCTGAAATTCAGCTCCATTGTAAAAATTTCCTGCTTTATTCTTTGAAGTCCTACCAGTCATTTAACATTTATTTTATGCATATACAATTCAAGGATTATGAGATTGTAATCTATCCAAGTACTAAAATGGTGATGGTTTTTACCACTAATTATTCTGCTTAATATAAGGATCCAAAGCTTTAGGGTCATAAGTTTTGTCTAAAATTATTTGCTAATAACTTACCTTTCAGTTTAAATATTTTATATGCCTGCATTAAATGTGATGTATCTTAAAATATAAATTTTATTTATTCAAAATACCCAGTTGCTGATGAACTTGAAATTTAAGCTTGTACAATATTTGAATTAAAATTTCTCCAAAAAGCATTCTCCACTGTACAAAAACAAATATTTTGATGATGTGAATACATTCAGATGAAACAACTTAACTTTTCTAACAATCTATTGTTTCTTAAATACTCCTATCAATAACTACAAATTTAACCTAAAATATTTAATTTAAACAAGTACCCTAATGCAAAAACATCTTATTTATTTTTCTTCCTCATATCCTTGTGAATCAAATCTGCTTCATATTTATTCTGTATATGCAGTAAATGTGACACCGAAATGTAAAGACCCATCGGAATAGCAAAAGATGATTTCCAAAAGCTAACAATATATTAAGAAATGAAAATTTCATTAGAAACCAAGAAAAGAGTGCTGAATTACCATGTAAGATCAATCCTCTTATATGACAGTGAAAGCTAGATAATTTTCTCACAGATGAAAAAAGAAACTTGAGGCAACAGAGTTGTTCTTCGCCAGAAAGATGCTGAGAATACCATAAATTGAACATATGAACAAGGAGAAAGTTTTAAGAAAAATCAGAACAAAAAAGACACTGGTAATAAGAATCACAAAGAAAGAGACACAAAATGAGGAAAGAGGGCTTTGAGAAATTGACACTCACAGGACATACTGATGGTAAGGTAAGCAGAAGTAAACACTGAGTAACCTACTTAACAAGCCATTGTAAATGGATGTCAGAACAGGATCTTGGTGGGATAGTAAGAAGGTAAATATTGCTTAGAACTACAATGGATAGGAAGTTATGGCGAGCCATGATTTCCCCATTATAAAGGGACATGGCAGATAATTTACTTTGCGGATTTAGGTATAGTACTAGATTGGCAGCTAGGTCTCTTCATTTTACAGTTGAAATGGCTAGATGTTAGCATAAGTTGCAGTTTCTTCAATCACACTTCTTGCTTGTGGAACTCTCGTCTGGCCTCTTGCTTTCCAGTCAACTTTGCTTTTCAAAAATTTAAATGCAGTGTCAATCGTCATCTTCTGTCACCTTATTCCCTGTTCTTTTATCATCCTCTTTCCTTAATAATATTTTCCCAGTTTCTTTCACTCTCTTGCATCTTAATGGCTTCATCACATTGCTTAGAGTGAAATTAAAAAACAAACATAAAGGGAAATATATTTCTGTTTGAGTATCTGTTGACAGCTGAAATCAAATAAGAATGTTTATTTTGTATGATAGCTGTTGGTCAGATCATTGCAATGTTTTAAATTTCAAAATGGTTTTCATTATAGATTGTTAGGTAGTGGAATTTATCTTCTACATAAACACTAGCTAGTTATCTTCAGGTTAAACCTAACATAATGACTTTGCCCATTCTCACACTTAAATTATGCCTACTTGACTTTTCACTATTTACCTAGCTACCCATTCACCACCAGTTCACTCTTCTTATTCTAGTGCTGAGAAAACAAACCCTCAAAATGCTAACATTTTTATCTACTATGATTACACAAAAGGAAAAGGTGACAATTTATTCTGAATAAGCATCTCTCATTTTTTTTCAAAACGAGACATAGTTGTATGATGTCAAAGGACAAGAAATTAGGAGCTTTGTTCAATATACAAGCAAAAAACATTAAATTAATGGCAAGAAGAAATAAAAAAAGAAAAGAAACAAAGATGTTAATCAAAGCTGTTTTAAACATGAAATAAGAAAATGGAAGTGCCCCTACTTTAGATTCCAAACTTAAAAGCATTTCAATGCCAAAATCTAATCTAGCATACCAAGAGAGGGTAATGAGTAGGCTGACAACCTAAACCACAAGATGTTGCTAGTGCTGCCACCTCTGGCAAATCATATATCAAAGTCACAAAGTTTAGGAAAAGAGATAAAAATGAAAGAAGTGAGCACTCCACAGGTGACACATTTATTTTAAATTAATATTAAATCCAATACTTCTAGCCCCTACCTTTATTATTTTCCTCCTCTTTTTTTTCTTTTCCAATGTAGATGAACTGTCGAGTTTTCTTTTTTTTCATTTCTTTTACCTTTTTTGTTAATTAGATGTGTGTATGATTTTATTGTTATTTTCATTTATTTATGTGGATTTTTTTTTTTTTTACTCACCTCATGTAGTGACATTGGTTTATCATTTTTCCTTTTTGAATCAAACCGCCCATAGATGGCTGCATACTTTCTCAACTCCTCCATCCTATTGGGATCATCAGGTGACATGTTCATTATCATCTGGAGGGAAAGGACAAATAGCTAATTGCACCATGCAGATTACACGAAAATAGAGCAAGTGAAAGAACAACACTTATACAGATATTCAGACACACTATTCCACATGCTCACAGATACACCTACACATACATACATCAAAGCAACCCACACTCACAAAGAAGTTTCCAGAAAGAATAACAGAAAGACAATAGGGAATAAAATGAAAAAAAAAAGTTCCATCAAATATTGTATACATTAATAAACTTTGTAAACTCTTCTCTTATTGTTTTACTTTAATGTTTTTAAGGAAAGAAATGGACGAATAAACAAACTATCAGTAATTTAGAAGGGTTTAAATATTCTAATACCACCAATAGAAAAAGTTAGTTACAAATTTCACCATTAACTTCAAAGTGTAAGGAATAAAGACTTGAACCCTCAAGAGTAAGCAGAGTGTATTGTCCATAATTTAGTAAACAAATGTATCTTAAGATTAGTTGTAACTTTGTATGAAAGTAACTTTAATATTGAACATTTTACAAAGTCAAAACTACCAAGAGTTTATGAATGCATCACATAATTGTAAGCTATGTGTTTATTGTTGCTACATCATTTAACAGATGTTTTAACATCCACTGAAAAATATTTAAGCAATACCAGGAAAATTTAATTTACTTTAAGTATATAAAGCATCAGTGTAGATTTGATTTTTATTGAAGTCTTCAAATGACTTCCACTATATATTTCCTAAAGTTTTACAATAACTAATTTTAAATGTACTTTATAGTATTTATTTGGAACTTATTTATCTGATACAGAAGTACTTGCTTACTATTAAACAGCATCAAACTAGCTTATTTACTATTTTAACAAAACTCTATATTCAAAGAGTTCAAACATAACATCTAATTCTTATAATTTAAGGGAGCAAGACATTTTGATAAAAATTATAATGCATCCCATAAATAACAATTACAATGCTGGTATACCTCTTGACAGCTGAACAGCACAGGTAGGATTGGTACGACCAGTAAAACAGGTTCTATGCAAAAACATAAAGTATACTTTTAGTTTTGCTGAAGCAGTTTTTAGTTATTCTGTTTTTAATATAGTTCTCCATGCAATGTTCTCCTTGCTGTAGAAGTAGTAGTAATAAAAAATGCTAAATTTGTATAGATTTCATGTTATATTATATATGTTATTACATGTTATATATAAAAAAAAAAATATTTACCAACTTTAATGTGTAAAACTTTTACAAGATGTATATATAATAGAAGTGAAAAATTAATTCTCTTTCTAATTTATATTCTGAATTACTGATTCTTTTCTACCCTTCAATAATTCAGGACATTTTGTGCTGAAGAAAATTCCCTGAGATTACACTCACTAGTTAAGTGATAGAACTGATTCTGAAATACATTAACAAGTGTATGACACAAATCATATATTCAAGCTACATCCTTATTACAGCATAAAATCTTGTATATACAATAATTTATGAAGTTGAGAGTGTAGAAAATTGTAAGGCAAATAATGTAATAAACATTAACCAATAAATAAACAATAAAGAAGAGAAATAATTTGGGGGTACATACTCTTAATTAAAAGTATAAATAATTACAGAACTACAGGAAAAGTGGCAGATATGAGAGGTTAATGTCAACACATGCAAAACAAAGAAACCAGTGAAAATTGTCATTTTGGCTGCAATTTTGATTTTGAAATATAAATTTTAGCCAAATTCTGCTTTTTATAGATCATTTCTAGTTTTTCTTTCACAAAATCATAAAAATGAATTAAGTGAAATCTTTTATTGTTTTCTCTAAGGAAAAGGGCTTTTTTTCAAGTGAATTGAATATGTCAACTTGCAAAAATATTTGAAATAGAGTACAGGATGATTTTTGCTATGATTTAAAAAAACTAATAATATATGTTTATACACTGTTATAAAGAGAATCAGAATTAAATCAAGTTCAGGTTGGTGATGTGTCTCTTATGAGTCACCTTTTTTACAAGTACAATTAATAGAACAATAAAAGGAAAATGCTGCACAAAGTAGTTACAGAGGATTTCTATTAAAGAGATAAAAGCCATATCATTTTGAAGTGATTTTTAAAAATTAGAGAGATTTTTTTTTTTAAAATTGAGAGAAAAATAAAACAAAGGTGATACATTTTTAAATTGGTTCCTCTTATCATGAAATCCTCTATACTGATGTCCACTTTTATTTTATACCTGTGACTTGTAAGGGTGTTCAATAGCTACTGGTGTATGTATGTGCGTATGTATGAGAATTATTATATTAAAACACATTTATGCTCATATACTTCAACATTTTATTCTAGGGGAGTTACATAAAATAATCAAACATAACAACTTAGAGAATAGGTAAAGAACAGAAGATTTATGAAACTATGTTTCGGATAGTATGAAAATGAATACAATATTTGTTTTTGTTTTTTTCATTCCTTTTTTAAAATACATTTTCCTTTTGTGTTTGAAGGAATATATTGTACCTTTAAAATAAAATCAAAATTTTATCATTCAACTTTCCATTAGAACACAACTAACATTATGAATGAAAAAAAAAAAACATCAGGAATTTCATCAAGATATCACTTGGTTAGAATTAATAAACTAAAAAAATAACCAGAAGATTGCCAAAAAGTGATCTTTTTTTTTAGGCTTGAAAAAGGATAAAAATTAATCCAATAAGTCAACTGATAAAAACAAATCATAAACAGAGAGGGGCAATAACATAAACTTGATTCTCATTTCATTTATAAAGAGAAAAACAGTATAAAAAATTGAAAAGAAAAAGAGATAAATACAAAGACAAGATAAAAGTTTTAAATAAACTTTATTATTTAGAGTCAAATGAATTATTTTTTTCTTTGAAATTCAAAGTCCAAAATGATGATTAATAGAAGGTGGGAATTTTCTTGTTTTAATGTGTTCAGAGTCATGGAGAAAGAAAGTTCTTCATATATCAGATTATTTATATACTCTGTTCAAATCAGCCAGATTTGATTGGAAACAGGAAAAAAAAAAATCTGACCCACTCTCCAAAGTGGAAATGTTACATTTTTTAAAAACTTGGATCTAGAATGAATTGCACAAGTGTTATGTAAAAAGGAGAGAGACAAGTAGAAGAGAAGGGTGTGTAATTAAATTATTGATTTTCTAATAGCTGTTAAAGGTTTGGTCAGTACAAAGGAAAAACTTGGAAGATCATCATTAAAATCATTAGATAGGAAATAAAAACTATTTGAGAATATTTTACTTTTCTTTTGTAATATTTATAAGTCTATTCTTTTCCTAAATTAATTTGTAAAGTTAAATTAAAAAAAATGCAACTAGTTAGCAAGTGTGTTACATCTAATAACTATTAGTTTAAGAAGAAGAAATTATATAAAGTAAAATGAAAAAAATATTTTACATGGTCAGGACTTCACAAACTCCAAGGAAATTTGATGATCATTGTAAAATTCAGGAAATTCTCAATAAATTTATGCATATTTCTTTCTAACAACTAAACAGTACAGAAAAAAAATAGAAAGGAGCTGAATGCTAATGTATTTTAAATCAATTACACAATGTATACAAAAGATAAAAATATGCTGACAAATAAGGATGTGTGTGATAACATAAAAGGATAAAAAAAATTTAACTATAAAAAAAGCATCTCGAGTTAATGCTGTAAATTTATTGCCAATTCAAACCATGTTTTGCATACTAACACTTTATTAAAGAATAATTTTCTTGCAACTTTTGTAATTGTTTTGAATCCTCATCTTTGCTGTTTTACAAATCATATTTGACAAGCAGTTTCCAATGACATTTTAGCCTAAACTTACCACAAATGCTAAATGAAGAAATGATCATTGAAAAATTGTTTAGCATGCCTCCTCAATATATCAAGAAAATATACTATTGAAAATAAATTGAAAAAGACAATAAAAATTAGAATATTTAGCTGAGTAATGCCCTCCAAATATACTTGGTTTTTTAAATATACAATTTGGACTTCTTTATTCTTTGAATCTCACCAAATAACAGTATATGGAACTCAGTTGCAATTAAAGCTTGTAAAAAGGCAAATAATCTTAACACCATATAATGCTCCCTGAAAATAATCAAAGCTTGCTAAATGAAATATAGATTGTCAGAAGTTCATTCTGATGCAGATTTATCCAAGATTTTATTTTTACCATATTTCAATTAGTATGTTCTCTAAACGTGGTCACCTATTCACTCATTGTGTAGTTAAATTCAGAGAAAATCTCTAGAAACATAGTGACTGTAAAAATAGATAATCTATCACACCATTTGGCTAGTAAAAATTTGTATAAAAAACATGATAAAACAAATAAGCAATAAAGATATGATTGAATGAACAGTAGTGATACCTCACACCATATATATATATATATATATATATATATATATATATATATATATATATGTATCTCAAATGAGGTTTAGGTTTAGCCAGGAAAACTTCTCAGTTAAACTGTGATTAACTCAAAATATTACAATTATCTGAAATGAGCCATTTAGGTGAAAAAAGAAGAGAGAAAGTGTAAATCAAATGGAAATCATTTTACTTGAGAAAAAAATATTGTCATTCAAGTTTTAATCCACTAAGAGAGAAGAAGCAATGGGTGTTTGGGGAGGACAAAAAAGTTCCAACTGATATTCAGATAAGAAATCAAAATAAAATCATGAAATCTAGGAAAAGGATAGAAAAACTTCAGAAGTCAGTAGTCTATCAAAATGAACAGCCATTAGGAGTGTTTAAAATTAGATGACATACAGTTAATGTTTACAATCTGGGTTTGTCTTGCTTTGAATTTCTCAAATTAAGACAAATGTTTGGGGAATTTGAAATTCACATCTACAAAATATTACACGTCATAATATGAAATAGCAGATTATCTACTTATTTTCAAATATTCTTATAAAATGTTATTGATTGATTGATTGCTGTTAAATAATTTATAGAT